ATTATTATATATGTTGATTTTGCGTTTTTTGTGTTTATTTTTAAGACAGGGTCTCACTACATAGCTCAGGTAGTTCAGGCTGTCCTGGAACTCACTGTGTAGACCAGGCTGACTTCAAACTCACAGAGATCTACCTGCCTCTGCCTTTCAGGTGCTGGGATTAAAGGTGTGTGCCACTATGTCTAGCATGTGTGTTGATTTTTTCAAACTAAAAAGAAATAAAGCACATCCATGACCCCTGCCCCGCTAACTTTATAGTATTAGAATTAAGATGAGGCTGGAGAGATGGCTCAGCTGCTAAGAGTCCAGCTGCTCTTGGAGAGGACCCAAGTTCAATTCCTGGCACCTACATCAGGCAGCTCACAACCAACTGTAACTCCAGCTCGAGGGGGAACCTCACACCTTTGGCTTCTTTCAGCAACTGCAACTTGCACATACCCCCATATACACACATAGATAATTAAAGATAATAATAATACTAAATTCTTCTTAAAATTTAGAGGTACAATGCCCATCAGTAACTGGAAGAGGAATAGTGGGGGATGGTGGAATAGCTGGAATATTTTTCTGAGAGCTTGACTTTAAAATTGAACTTGAATTAGGCATGGTGGTAGACTCCTGTAATCCTACACTTTATAAACCCGAGACAAGAGGATTAGGAGTTTGAGGCCAACCTGAGCTCCAGACCATGTCTCAAAACATATAAATTATTAATTTTAAAAATTGAACTGATCCTTTTCAGGGGTGCGGTAAAGTCTAACAGAGTGTACAAACATTTCTCAAAAGAGACACACAGCCAACAGATAGATGAGAAAATGCTCACCATTGCTAACCAGTAGAGAGGAACAAACAAAATCATAGTGCGATTGCCTCAATCTAGAAAGAACTAGTATATATGTATACACACACACACACACACACACACACACACACACAGAGTGAGGATGCCGAGAAGAGATGAAGTTCGCACACTACTAATGGATGAATGTTGGTACAGCCATTATAGAAAACAGCATGGAGGTTTCTCAGAAAATTAAAAATAGAGCTATCATATGGTGCACAGCAATCATCCAACTGGTATGTATACAAAGGAAATGAAGGCACTATGTTGAAGAGACATCTGTGCTCCCATTTTTATCGCAGCATTATTTATATAATAGCCAAGAAATGGAAGCAAGCTAAGCATCAATCAATAGATGAATAGACGACATAGTATATGTACACAACAGAGCACCATTCAGCCTTACAAAGGAATGGAATCCTGTCATGCGTGCCATTATGCATGGAACTGGAGAGCACTGAATGAAACAAACAAGAAACAGAAAGACAAGTCCTGAGTGATTTATTCACGCATAGATTATTTAAAAGTTGACCTCATGGAAGTTCAGAGTGTTTACCAAAGAAAGAACTGAGATAAGAGAAGACTAGGGACAAGCTGGTGAACAGGTACTAAGTTAAAGTTAGATAAGTAGTAGAAGTTCTGGTGTACTATTGCATAGTAGAGTGGTTACTGATGATGATAGTGCAGATAATATGCTATATATCTTTAAAATCTAAAAGCTAGGTAAGGCTATACACACTTGGGGGCTGAGATAGGAAAATTGTGAGTTCAAGAACACACTGGGCTACGTAGAATTTCAGGCCAACCTGAGCTAGTGAGATCTTGTTTCCAAACATCAGCAAAAGATAAAAAGATAGGAGAAAGAATTATGAATGTTTTCACTATTAAAAATGTATCTGAAGACTTAGCTATTTCTAAACAATAAAAGTGCACACTCATTTAGAATAAAACAATCCTTAGAGGTTCAGTCCCTAGACATTCAGCACTCCCCAGACTGTAATTCAGTAATCATTTTTGCTCACCTCTGTCTTTAGGAAATAGTCCTGATGTACTTGATAAATTGGTAAACTGAAACTTGAACTGTTACAATTAAAATTTAAATTCCTTGAATGGAGAAAATATGTCCCTTATTTATCCACTAAAAGTGTTTGGCAAAATTTCCTTAGTGTGTAGACACTCAAGGATTATCAGAGAATATCTGAGATAGTACAAACTTAAGACATCACTAACCACCACTCTGTGGCATTGTGCTAGAAAGCACACATACACACACACACACACACACACACACACACACACACACACACACACACACAAATGGAGCTGGAATAGTCTCAGTGCTAAAGGTGTTTAACAGCTCCATTGGTGACAGAGTCTCTTCTTGTTAACAAGGAAGAATATTGCTGAGTCTCTGTGTTATATATTTCTACTACTATATAATTTCATCTTTCCATCTAGCTTTCTGAACATGAACTGAGTCAAGTTTGTTCTAATGATACAATCTCTATGCTATTCTGAGGTTTGACTTGCTGTGATGATGTTTTATAACTTGAAGACATAGCCATCCAGATGTGCCACAAATCTGGTGAATAAAGGTATATTATTAACTCATTAAATTTTTCTGGACTTCTATTAGTAAAGTTAAAATTATTTAGTAGCTACTAACCTTATTGATAATTTTTTTAAGGATTTATTTATTTATTATGTATATAGTGTCCTGTCTTCGTGTACTCATGAACGCCAGAAGAGGGCACCAGATCTCATTACAGATGGTTGTGACCCACCATGTGGTTGCTGGGAATTGAACTCAGGACATCTGGAAGAGCTGCCAGTGCTCTTAACCTCTGAGCCATCTCTCCAGCCCTAATAATCTTTTTTATCCTAGAATTACTTAGCTGTCTTTAAGTAGCTATTGAGCCATCTTATTTTGTCAGTAACATGACTAAGAGTTCTAAATTGTGTTTATTTCAATTTGTCAAATCTTTTTGAAGTGAATTATAAACATCCTACTTTGTAACTTAAATATGATTCCATTACAACTGCATTTATAAAAACTAAGTAGGTTTATGAAGTTAGTAAGTAAAATATTTTAATTCTAGTGACTAAGAAACCACTTCTAAAAATGTTTTTGCTCCTCGTAGGTTTGTTCCTTTATTGTGGTTTATTTTAACATAGGAATAACAGACTAATCTGTGTTTTGCTTGGTTATGCTTATTAAATATAGCTCCAAATGTATTTCTATATAATTTACTTAAAAGCTATTCTATTTCAAAAATAAAGGAACAGAATTTGGATCTATGACTGCAGAAATTAAGAAACTGTCTTTCAGTGTGCACAGTTCCAAGTTTTGGTTTTGGTGGTGGTAGGGGTTGTTGCTTTGTTTATTTAGGTTTTTTGAGAGGAGGTCTCAACTGTAGCCCAGGCTGACCTGTCCAACACACTTCTAAACTTCCTTTACCACCTCCCAGGTACTATGTTTACAGGTATGTCATGCCTCACTTTGGGCAAAATTCTATCAATGGTTCAGCTTCGTTTAAAATTTAGAAAAGTGCTATTTGTATACAAGCAATTAAACTGGAATAACAGGAGCTAACAGTTAGGTTTGTTTCACACACCACCAGTATGGAGATTTATACTAAACATTTGTTTTTACTTTAAATATCCATTTTTTGCTAGGCAGTAGTAGTGCTTGCCTTTAATTCAATCACTCAGGAGGTAGAGGCAGGCAGATCTCTGTGAGCTCAAGGCCAGCCTGGTCTATAGAGAGAGTTCTAGGACAGCCAAGGCTACACAGAGAAACCTCTTAAAAAAATAAAAAAAAAACCAAAAACTCACATTTTTTTTTTAAACCAAGGTCAGAAAGTTTCAGAATAAGAGTAAGTAAGGGAAAGTCATTCTGACATAATGTTAGGTTCAGATGTGTATGAAAATTCAGATGCCCTAACATGTAGAAGTTCATTTTCAGTATCTGAACACTGGACTACAAGATTTTAGGAGAAGCTTAGTCATTGCTGGGGCTGGGAAGAGAAAAGGGATATGGGGAAGCAGGAAATGGTAACGGGCTTGCAAATGGGGGGGAACAGTGAAGTATCCATACTAAGTGGGTGGTTTTGGAACTAGACTGAGGTGACAGTTGAAGGTGTGTATGTTCCTAAATGCCACTGTGTTGGAACTTTAAAGGAGTTTATTTTAACGTGAAATTCACCACCACCACCACCCCCAAGGGGGATAAAAATGATACAGTATTTTCTGGCAGAGGCTGACTCCAGTCGGTGAAGAACCGGTCAGAGGGGGTCACTCCTACCTACTTCACACTAAGTCCCGTGAAAAGTGTTCCACACCTTCCTCAGGTGGGCCTCGATTTCAAACACAGCCAAATAGCTAGCCATCAGCATCATACTAAACTCATTTTAGTGAATACTAGAAAATAGCAAAAAATTAATCAGAATCGTCTAGACATCCCGAGCGAGCAACAGAGACCACATTTTAGGGAGGAGAAAGAAGCCATTTTTTAAAAGGTTTTTGTCTTGGGCCGAAGAACTCGTATTCAGTAAGTCTCAAACACTACATTTATATTTATGTGTTTAACTACGACAGATGTGTTTGCCAACAGGGCCGAATCTCACAGAAAAAGGGCGAAAACCCACTCTAGGCCGTTCTGTGGCAACGAAGTTGTTCACCAACGATCACCACCATACCCATCCGCGGGAAAGCTCCCTCTACACGCCGCCGAAGAAAGCGTAGCCTCCGTGGGCACTCCCGCCACGCCGCGCGAGAGGTATCGCTAGGCCTCCTGGGAATTGTAGTTTAAGCCACGAAAGACGGCTTAGTCAGGCCAGTAAAGCGCGAGTCCGAAAAACTACAACTCCCGGAGTGCTCCGGGGCGACGAGCGGCCGCAGCAGTGACGACTGTGGCGGAGAAGGCCCGGAGGGGCTCTGCGTTCTGGAGTGGCGCTGCTTGGGCCGGTGGCTGAGTGAGGGCTGCTGGTGTCGCGTTTGAGGAGAACTGCGAGTGTGTTCGGCATATCCCGGTCGGGATCCCAGCCACGATGAGTGCTGCCCGGGAGTCTCACCCGCACGGGGTGAAGCGTTCAGCCTCCCCCGACGACGATGTAAATAACAATGGATGAGGGTTGAGGCCTACTAGAGGCTGGGGGTAGGCCGGGAAGGGTGAATGGTGTAGGAAGCGCCCAAAGTGGCTGGAGGGGAGCGGGGCGCAAACGAGGAAATGTCTCCTTTTTCTTACTAGAATCTGAGGGTTTGAGGAGGCCCGGAACTGAGATCCAGAGACTAGCGTAAGAAAGGGAGATTGAGGAAGGAAACCCTGAGAAGGCTCAGAAAAGAGCTTAATCCAGATGCCTCTGCGTCTTGGGGGTGCTGGTGAAGCTCCTTTCTTAGGCATTTCGGGATAGATATGTCATACCCCTGTTTTAGGTTTAAAATGCTCCTCTGACAATGGTGAAATGTTCCATCACATTTGGACGAATTTTCCGGCCTGAGTAATTTTTTGCAGTATACTGGTAATTGCTACCCTTATCTGCAGCACCAGTCGTAATACACAGAAACCAGTATTAAGCCAAAGATTGTGGTGGACAATTTGCTAATGGAATAATGGCGAGGTCAGAGGCAGTAAGACCCAGAAGCCCATTTTGATGTCAAATACCTTTCTGCCTTTCCTCTCATGCCTTCAGCTTATCAGTTTAAATAATCAACTGCCCCTTATAACCTGTTAAATACTGACTGCAGTGCCAGATACTGGGAATTGAAAGATTACTATAAATATGATGCTTATGTTATATTTCTCTTAGCTCTAGCATAGTGTCGTGGAAACTTCAGGTAACTTGTACACTTAAAACTAGGTCCTTCTATAATGAAATGCTTTGGGGAAATTAGTGGGAAGGAGACATGAGGAAGTCATCTTTGAGATAGATTAAACCTGGTCTCACTTAACTTATTAATGCACTGTCAGCTTCAGAATTGTAATTTTTAGTGCTGTTTGGTGTCTTTCATACGTCCTTTGTGAGCCATAAAAGGTTCCCTGAACGATTTTGTAGTTAATGAGAGAATACTCAGAGCCACCCTTCTTTGACTGGAAGATGAGGTGGGACCAGAATAATGAGCATTTAAATAAATTTGAACCCTGTAAGGAAGATTAGTAATCAATAAAAAAAAAAAAAATGGGGGAATGATTGGTTTTACTAAATCTACTGAGATTTATTCATGCCCCTGTCCTCCCTGCTACTGGAATTTAGGTCTTACAATGTTAATACAGTCCTTCTGCATTTGCTAGGAATTTTCTAGGTTTTTTTTAGCCACCTAGACTTTAAAATAGATCTAAAAGAGCTGTTTCATTATTTTCCTCCTGATACTATCTGGATTGCTGAGATGTCACATGCCTGCTTTGAGAGACTCAGAAATAAAACAACTTTTAGCTGAATTGAAAAGTCTAGTTGACATTAGAAATTTAACAGAAGGCCTTTGATGATATCAATTTAAAGTAGATGAGCTTTGATACATTTCTACTCCTGTAAGCATTGTCTTAAAAGGTGATTATAGTTGCATTTCAAGATTGAGACCTGGCACTTTCCCTATACTATCATAAAAATGATTGTGTTGTTAATATATGGTATTATACAGTAACTTGTCCCTTAACAGTGGTTTTCTTAAGTCAGTCCCTTTGTATATGCTTATTATTTTTATTGCTAATTGGATGTTATCTTCCTTGGGTTTTGTTTGTTTGTTTTTTGTTTTTAATCTCATCTGTATTTTCAAAATACATCTGGAAATTGTAGAAAATCAACTAACAGTGATATGTTAGTATCCACTGTATGTAAAAGATTTAAGTTTTTTGGTTCAATGACTTCACATATAATTGAGGGCAACAAAACACTTTGAAAATCTACTGGAAGTAGCTATCACAGAATACAGTGCTAGAAAAGGATGACATAGAAGTAATCTCAATCAGTGGGATATGTATATGAGGAGCAAAGTCGATTGCAGCCTATATAAGGAATAATGAGTTTATTGGGATTTCATTTGGTTTGGTTGAAGTGGAGAATGAAGACTGTTTCATCGGAGTGAGAGATAAAGAATCACAAATAGTTGTCAGGCAGTGTGTTTCAGAGTGTAGCAACTGTGACACATAGAACACTAGCTAATTTGGTCCCGTGCAGTATGCCGTGAAACAGACAGAAGGGTGGCCAGAGCATGGGATCAGCTCCCTTGGTTTCTGTGCCTTGGTGTCCTTATTGTCTGCCCGTTGGTTTGCCTGTTGAACTGCTCTGAGAAGCTCTAGAGGGAATGAATGGAAGTGGAAGGTTATTTGTAAGTTAAAGAACGTTGCAGGTTGAGTACCCCACAGGCTGAGAACCAAGAGTGTTTTGGGGTTCAGAATTTCTTGGACTTGGGAATATTTGCATATTCATAAGCTATCTTAAAGATGAGGTCTCAGTATAGATAGGTGATTCGCCTATTTCACGCATACTTACACAAACATGACTGAAGGTAACTGCTCAGTAGTTTGAGTGCACCTATCACTGATTGTGAGTTACCTTGTGAGGTCAGATGAATAATTTGTTCCATGTTGGCATTCAGAAGAACTTTGAAGTCAGAGCTTTTCAGGTTTTCAGATTAGATTCTTAACATGTATGCAACTCTTAGTGTATTCTTGACACTGTTGGTAGTGGTGGTTTGGTTTTTGGTGCTGGGAATCAAACCCAGGACCTCATATGTGCTGAGCAAGTGCTCTGCCACTGAGCTGTGTCCCCAGCCCTTGGGATTTTGACTCAAAGCTACTATGTAGCTGAGGCTGGTACTAAATTTTCTGTGTAGTAGCACCAAGATAATTAGGCTTAGGACACTGCTGCCTTCATCTCTCATGATTATAGGCATGCACCATCACACCAGGCATAAAATATACCTCTGAAAAGTCTTGGTAAAAAAGGAATTAAAACTAAGTTAAGTGTCAGTATTGGCTCACAAAGCAAGTGGTTTTGTGAGAATAAAAATTGAGGTAGTATTGGTACTTTGTTGTCATATTGAGCTAGAAATAGTTAAGACTAATTGACCTATAAAAAGATCTGTGCAGTCATATGGAAAGAAATAGAGATTTATAACTTAGGCAGCCAAGATTATGAGAACATATAATCTCCACCAAATATAATTTAGAACAAGTGGGTCTGGTATGGTGCAAATGCTTTAACTCTCATATGCCAAGGAAGAAGAGTTCTCATTGCTTTAAAAAGTCTTTATGTTTTTATTTTAAATAAAATTTTATTTAGAATTTTAAAAAATTCTTTATATGTGTGTAATTTTCAGAGAAATAAAAGGGGAATGTCAATGACTACTAGGAATTTTAACATAAATTTAACAATATCAAATCCAAAGTTTACTCTGTAGGTTTCTGATTTTTGACAATCTATAAACCCAGAGGGCTAGTATCTTGTGGATACAGCTGGTTGCTCATTGGCGTCATGTGTGGACTAGAACATAATGGTTAAAGATTGCTTATTCGTTTCTAATAGGTTTTAGCTTTATCATTACCTCTACTTGCATTTTCATAGTCAAAATTTAATACTTAGATACTTTGAAAACTGAGTACTTACCATTTTGTGTTGGAGGTTTTTCACCTTTGCTCCAAAATTGTAAACATTTTCATTCTTATTATAAAATTAGTTAGAATGATCAATCCAATGAATGTCTTCATTTCTATATCATCTTTTTCTTTTAGTCACCTTTGTATGCACACCTGCCTTCAGCCTTTGCTCATTACAAATCAAGTAAATGTTGCACACATATAATAAAAGATGAAGTAAAAGTCAAGCATCCTTTTAGAAAAATGAGATGGCCCCAGCTCTTCTTGCAAAATGAAACTCTTACTGCAAAATGGAGCCCTTCCTGTTGAATGGCTTTCTGGATGAGGGTACCATATTCTTTTATTCTTGTTTTTGTCTCACATTGATTCATTGGTTGGAAAAGAACTCATCTAGTACTTCATAATACAAAGAATCAGTCTGAGTTATTCACATGTAACTTCTTTATTTTTAGCATATAATTCTGTACTACATGCTATTTTGCAATCTTTTCTCATTGTTTGTAATTTTTGTGTGGGAGAGCCTTTTGCCTGCATATGTGTCTGTGCACCACACGTGTTTCTGGTGCCTATTCAGACCAGAAGAGGGTGTAGATTTACTGGAACTGGAGTTAACAGACGGTTGTGAACTGCCGTGTGAGTGCTAGGAATCAAACCCAGGTTCCCTAGAAGAGTATCCATTGCTTTTAACCACTGAGCAAATTCAGGCTATCTTCTTCTTTTAAATCTTGATTCTGAAATGCCTTCTGTCAGTTTTCTTTTTGGGTGGAAAATTAATTCTGTACAACAGAGCCATGGTGACTTGACCTTTTGACACAATATAGTGCCATAAGTTTTTCACCATTTCCTTTTTAGTCATATTTAGTATGGCTGGAGGTGATTGATAGAATATAATGAAATCTTACATTTGTTTCAAAACCTAGAGAAAAATACAGTTACTAGGATTTTGTAGTACTTAAACTGACAAAACAGTCCACTGGACCCATTGTTACTTGAAAGAGACAATGGTTTTTGAAAGATACAATTATTTATAGTGTTTTTGTCTGCTTTTTATTTTCTCACGACGGGGTTTCTCTGTGTTAGGCCTGGCTATCCTGGAACTCACTCTGTAAAACAGACTGGTCTTGAATCCAGATATCTGCCTAACTTTTTAAAAGTAAATTTTCTTCTTGTTCTTTGGAGGATCTCTAAGAAAGAATAAAAACTATAATATTTTGGTTCTAATAAATAATTGGAATTCCCCCCCCCCAGAAAAAAAAACCTGAAAGATTATGATGCCATACTGTCTCTTAGAATATCAGCAAAGTAGACTTTTTTATTACATTTTATTTGTGTGTGTATATGTGTACATACACACTCAGCATCATTCCATGCCACACATGTGAAGTCAGAGGACAGCTTGTGGGAGTCAGTTCCCTCCTTCCACCTTGTGAGTCCCAGGGACCAAGCCTAGGTTGTCAGGCTTGGCTGCAAGCACCTTTTCCCATTGAGCCATCTCACTGGCCCAAACCCAAACTTTTAAGCTCTGGTTAACAGTGCTGGCAGCCTTCTGGTACTAGGTGCTCTAGTCCCCTTCAAGGCTTGATCTAGGGCAGTGAATGTCACAGATTTGCATCCTGGATCCCAGGACCCAAAGATTTTGAAATAGTGTGTACACAGTTTTATATGAGCTCTCCATGTCATTCTGGCGTTTGCAGGCTTTAGAGACGGAGCTGTGGCTGTAACCAGAGTAAAGTGTTCTGCTGTGAGGTGAGAGAAGGGAGCCTGGCTGAACTCTGATGTGCCATGTTGGTTAACTTCCTAAGAACCACGAGTCCCAGTTAGTTCAAACTGACAGAAGAAAAGTTGGAGTTACAGATGGATTTTAAGTATTTTAATATTTGTAAATGCAAAAACAAAAAACAAGGTAAATAATCTCTTGCAGCTTGGATCTAGCAATTGGGAAGCAGCAGACTTAGGCAATGAAGAGAGAAAACAAAAGTTCTTGAGACTTATGGGTGCAGGAAAGGTAAGCATTATATGTTTATGGTTTTATCTTTTTAAAAACAATGCTGTGTTTGTGTGGGTTAAATGAGGAGGATGGGGCACCTTGTTTTCTTCTGCTTGGTTTATTTTTGGCTTTGGAAAATACACCTAGCCTAACCAGACACTTTGAGTTTATACTATTTCTGAACCAGTTCTGGGCTTTTCTGCACCTTTGGCTGTGTGGTTAGAGACTGTATGGAGAAAATTGGATTTGTGTAAACTCAACTAATTGCTTGCTACCTAATGGTTTTCATAGAAGGCATTTCTTTTTTTTTTTTTTTTTTTTTTTTTTTTTTTTTTTTTGGTTTTTTTCGAGACAGGGTTTCTCTGTGTAGCTGTGCGCCTTTCCTGGAACTCACTTGGTAGCCCAGGCTGGCCTCGAACTCACAGAGATCCGCCTGGCTCTGCCTCCCAAGTGCTGGGATTAAAGGCGTGCGCCACCACCGCCCGGCCATAGAAGGCATTTCTAAGCATGTTATTTTATAGAAACCTCTGCCCAAAGTCAGAAGTCTGTATTTCATGGCCCTTAAAGTAGCAGCCAAGGGAATATCCCTTATCAGAGGCCTAATTTTAGAAATGTTGCATGTATTTTGTAGTATGTCCCAGTTTAATTAAAGGTGTAGTTACAGGTGCTAAGAAAACGCTTTGAAAATCTTTCTTATCCTAGCAGTCTTGTTATACAAACTACATTTGAAAGCATTAAGAGAGCATTTTCTTTTCAGCACTCAGGATGCAACCTTATCCTTTGTTTTTGTTGTACGCAGAAGCCCTAGTGCATTTCACCAGCAGTTACCAATTACCTATGACATGCTAGCACTACTCTGGGTTCTTGGTGGTACTGATGGTCAGGTCATGTGTGGAAAGCTGTTGTGTACTTGAAGAAACTGAAACTAATACAGACTCATCACTGTGAGAGAGCGTATAGTGATGGCCAGTTCTCTCTGGCTTTGCTGCTCAATAAAGCTTCCTAGAAATAGATGTGGGTAAATCTGCAAGCTGAGTTCCCCAGATCCCAGCAGAAGGTTCCGAGTGGAGAGGGATTGAGGAAGTCAGGCCCTCACAGAGCCTTCAGGGAGCATTGTGTAGTGAATACATAATCCTTGCTTCCTAATGATTTTCAGTTTTTCAGAGTACACATTTTCTCTTGGCCTTTACAAATAAAATTTGTTGAAAGGTATATAAAGTAATATTAGTGTACAAGTTCAACTACTAGAATAAAAACTCTGAAAGTACTAAAAACATCCTAACAAAATCTGTAAAATTTGATGACCAGTAAATGGGCTCTCTACCATCATGTAAATCTTTGCCTAAAGGACTGGAGGTAGAGCTCAGACATAGGATGTGTCCTTAGGTGGGAGACACAAATGTCTCCACATGTGCTTTTTAACAGTGCTTTGGAATCACATTTAATCTTTCCCTCTTTTCATGGATCCTTTCTTTACTTTTGGGAATGAAATAGGAACTATAAAGAGTGGACTGAACTAACAAAATGAAACTAGCTGTATAGTTACTTTGAATCAAATTATTTTTATGTTTTGTATTAAATTGTTCTTAAGGTCTGTTTTTGACAAGTTGAGGGTTTATTGTAACCTGATGAAGAACTAGCTAGTTAATATATTATAAAGAGTAATGGTCATGTTCATTTTCTTTTACTTGGTACATTATGAGTATTATTTTGCTTTAGTCTACATAAATAATTTCTTTGCTTTCTTTCTAAGATACTCTTTTTTTGGTTTTTCGAGACAGGGTTTCTCTGTGTAGCTTTGCGCCTTTCCTGGAACTCACTTGGTAGCCCAGGCTGGCCTCAAACTCACAGAGATTCGCCTGGCTCTGCCTCCCGAGTGCTGGGATTAAAGGCGTGCGCCACCACCGCCCGGCATTTTCTAAGATATTCTTGAGGCATCACAAAGAGATGGTAGAAAGGTCTTAAAGAAAATCAGGAGGCCTAGGCATGATGATGGCACACACTTTTTAATCCTAGCACTCAGAAAGCAGACAGCTGTTCTGAGTTGTAAGCCAGCCTGATGTACAGAACAAGTTCCAGGACAGTCCAGATTCAGCAGCCATTATCTATCTCATTTAAAATTCTAGTCTGGGCTGGGCATGGTGGTGCTTGCCTTTAACCCTAGCACTTGGGTGGCAGAAGCAAGCAGATCCCTTAGGAGTTCAAGGCCATCCTGGTCTACAAAGTGAGACTTCGTCTCAAAAAAAATCCAGCCTGCTCTAGTCTTTGAGTTTTCTGTCTCCTTAGTCTCTCTGTTTTGTTTTGATGGCACTACCTTCTTGCATCGTATGATTTCATATGGATTATGTTTGTGTACCACTTTCTAATTCTTCCCCTTGCTAGGATGTAATTCGATAAAGACAGGGATCTTGATTGATGCCTTGGTCTTCAGAATATTCCAGAAGCCTGAGATAGTTTCCACTACATAGTAGTAATTTCAAGTTTTAATACATTCTTCACCTTCCTACAGAAAGAACACACTGGCCGTCTTGTTATAGGAGATCACAAATCAACATCTCACTTCCGAACAGGTAAGAAAGTAGAACACTCAAATAGAAGAACTAAACCTGTGTTTCACACTTTCCTGCGCATAGTTCTGTTAATTAAAAGCACTTCGAGGGAGACTGGAAATATATCCTATTGGTATAAGAGTTGCCTAGCATGTACAAGGCCTTGGCTTCCCAGCATCAGAAAAGAAAAAAAAAATGGAATTTTTTTAATAAAAACTGCAAATGAATTTGAGTTGATTTCAGTCTGCTGGAAAGTAAACATTAGTCTTGGTTGCTATTAATTAACAGCATAATCTAAATTAAATGAATTAACTAAATCATTTAACTTTATACCGATCTATTTTATGTAGTATTTTTCAGAAATATGTTGATCTCTCATTTTTCTGACATTAGCTATTTCAAAATGATTTGCATTGTTCCATATGGGCAGAACATCAGCTTTGCAAAATGGAAACGCATTTTAGCATTTAACACTTCCTCTTTTAAAATTGAGAATTGTATCAAAATGAAATATATATGCATGAAAATGCCATAACAAAATTCAACACATGGTATGCTTGCTGAATAATAAATGCTAAAAACATTGAGAGATCTATGAAGAAAAAACCCAAACACAAATATTTGTGATTGGAACCTAAAATTGCTTTAATGTTTATACACCAAGCACTGCACCCAGAGTCTTGAGCGGACACTGTTGGGGACCATCAGTTTTAAGTGGGGTTCACTAGGCTGTTAGTGTTCTGTTTCATAGTGTGAAGTAAGTGCAAACACAAAAACGTTGCATCATAAAATAACTTGGGCTTTTTTAAATTTGTTTCTGTTAGCTGGTAAGCAAAGACAGGCATAAAGAACCATTACCAGGCCACTTTGAGATGACCTTGAATTCTCTAAGTAGAATACTAACAGTTTTATTCTCTCTTTTCAAAAGCAGGTGTTCTTGTTTACCAGAGGTTTTTAGGTAATTTGGAGAGAACCTTCAGAGTGGCCACTAGACACTTAATTCAGAACATTGGCTCCTAAAAGTCACAGTAAATATGTCTGTCAGCTACTGTGTTTATTAGGTGGCCACTGTGCTATAGAAACTGTCAACAGACCGCAGAAGTTAGTCACAGTTAGAGAACTCAGGCCTGACTAGAATAGCATCTGTGTTGTGAGTCTTTTGTGTAATCACATATTTTTGTTAATTTGACTGAAACATAACCAAAGTACAATGGACACGCAGGGGAAGAAGACAAGAAAATTAATGAAGAGCTGGAGTCTCAGTACCAGCAGAGCATGGACAGTAAACTATCAGGCCGATACCGGCGGCACTGTGGACTTGGCTTCAGTGAGGTAGGAACTTTGTTTTCGTTGACTGGGACAGAATCAGTTTCACTTTGATATTTGGGTTGCTGGAGCAGCCAAGAATGCTAATAGCGCGAAGAAAAAAAAAAACAAGAATAGACTAATAGACAAGAAAGCGCTTGTCAAATACTTAAAATATTCTTATAGCACATCTGTGTCACTACATAATCAGAATGATGTTCTTAAGGATTTAAAATGAGTTTTCTAATGTTGGCTTAGTGTAAATTCTGCTTAACCTCTAGGCACACCTTTAATGGGTATGAATAAATGTTTATAAGATAAAATAAACTAATTTCATATAAGTTTAAAATCCTGGCTTAGGTTTCTTTGCTGTTTCCTGGGTGGTCTCTGTGATGACTGGTGCAGTGTTAATTTGCTAATAGATGCTGTTTCAGGAAGAGAAAATACAGTGCTTCTCAAGCTGGGGGAGGGAGACGGGGGAGTGCCCCTGGGAAGCTTTCCTTAAAGCCTGATGTGCTTGTCCTCAGTCTCTCCTCAGCAGCCAGGAATTTTAATTTGTTTGTAATATATTGACCTAATGCTATCAAGTGGACTGGTTTTTTTTTTGTGTTGCTTTGTTTGTTTGAGACAGGATTTCAATATGTGACCCATGCTGGAACTTGAACTCATAGAGACCACCTGCCTCTGCCTCCCAAGTGCTGGGATTAAAGGCATGCACAAATGTGCCCAGCTAAGTGGGCTGTTTTTAAGACAGACAAAAATAGGATTTGTCCCAGTTTCTACATTGGCCAGAGGTACTTGGTTTTCCTTAACAGGCCTTCGTCTGGTATTTTAGGTAGAAGATCATGATGGGGAAGGTGATGTGGCTGGAGATGATGATGATGATGACTCGCCTGATGCTGAGAGTCCAGATGACTCGGACAGTGACTCTGAGTCTGAGAAGGAGGAGTCTGCAGAAGAACTCCATGCTGCTGAGCATCCTGATGATGCAGAAGACCCGAAGAGCAAAAAAGATGCGAAGAGCAATTATAAGATGATGTTTGTCAAGTCCAGCGGCTCATAACTATTAAACACTTAGTCTTTGTATTAAAAGTAAGCCTTATTGTTATAATGCACAGTGGAGGACTGCTTGTAGAGCACAGACCTTTGTATTATAATTTTTAAAAAGGCCCTTTTAAATAACTACAAAGAGTGTTTGCTTTCAAATGCCATGGGTTACACTTTTCCGGGCATGACTATAACCATTTTTGTAAAGAGTCAGAGTTGTATAAATTGAGAAATAAATACTGTACTCAGCTTCCTTTCATATTAGCATCGTCTGCCCTCTTACCACCTTTTCACCCCTGTAGATACATTATGGGGGACACTTACTTTGTTTGTGGTAGCTTTCATCTTTGTGTTTTAGGTTTGTTCCTATTTTTCTCTTATGTAATTCATTTGATACTGTGACATGTTCATGAGAAATGTTCCCTTGATTACACTTTGTTAAAGTAGACCTGTCCCTGTCCATCATGGATGTTTCTGCTGCCGGCCATGCTGCCATACTGCAGACCATTGTTGACAGTCCATGCTTGTTAAGTCTCTGCTTTCAGACCAGAGCAGCACAGGAGCCAGCACAGGACATTGGTGGGCGGAGGTGCAGCCGTCACGTCATTCGGAAGGTTGTGAACCCAAAATGTCTTTATATAATTTAATTTCACTGTGTGGTAAAGTTTTGATAAAATTTGGCCAGTTTTTACAGAAGAAATTATTTCTCTGCTCATTTAGTCCTGTTTATTTAGAAATATGTAAAACTGGATTTTTTTTTTTAAGGTACTATGTGACCAAAGTTCATTTTTTTCTTCTAAGGTCTAAATAAAGAGAAAGCAGTTTCCCATATTTGGTTATGATGCCTTTATCCTCATTGTCTGTAAATGGGAAACAGGCTTATTGAGTAAGAAGCTGGAAAACATGTTCATCTTATACTCTTGTCTAGAATGATGGCTGAACAGAAGCGTTACCAGGTAATTGTGCTGCTGCTTGATAAGACAGGATTCATCTGGCTGCTCTCTCCTCGATTTGTATAGCGGATTAACACAAGTGCATTATGGGTTAGTAGATGGAGCTTTGAATAACTGTCAAAATTTTAACAGGCTTACAGGTGAGAATCCAACCTGTATGAGAACTGATCTGTTACATGTGTGGACTATACTTTGTGCCTGATGGGCTAGACTTTGTAAAACTGCCCTTTTGAAAATTCAGATATGGGAGATGGCACACAGAACAGGTGATTTCTGATTTATAGACTATATTTTGTATTTTCACGCAAATGGTCTTTTTGTTTTGTTTTTAATTCTTTACACTATACAAGTAGACACTGTTTAAATTACCCTCTGGATGTGTATAAAACACTTGGAAGTTTGGTTTTAGTTTGAACACTTTTAAATCCAGCTTCCAGGATTGCATATTACATACAATTAATTTAAGTAAAAACTAATTCATGTTTAAGAATAGATGAGGGGCTGGAGAGATAGCTCTGTGGTTAAGAGCACTGTACTTCCAGAGGATCAGGGTTCTATTCTAGAGGATCAGGGTTCTATTCTAACACCTACATGGTAGCTCACAACTCTTAATTCCAGTTCCAGGGAATTCAACACTCCTTTCTCATTTCTGCAGGCATCAGGCATACAAGTGATGCACAAAAATGCAGGCAAAACACACATATACAGAAATTTTTAAAATTTAAGAAATGTGAGGGTACTGGCCTATAATCTTAGTGCTAGGAAGGCTGAGACAAGGATTACCTTGAGTTCATAGAAAGCCTGGGCTGCATAGAGGGACTATTAAAATAAGGGAAGCTGGAACACCCAGCTGCCTGGGAGAGTGCTTTGCTAGCATATGTAAGGCCTTAGACTCCATCTTTAAGACCACCGAAGATCAGAAGGTTTTTAAAGCATTCCCATCAATTCATTATTAACTATGCAGGGCTATTCATAAGGTTTTCAGAGTTTTAATAGGTTTTTAGAGTATTGGTCCATGAAGCACTGTAGCCTATAGTCCCTAAACCACATTAAACACCTTGTGTATCTTATGCAAGTGAATGTCAAGGAACTTTAACAAAAATGAAAGAAAAATAAAAGGCTTGTGTGCCATGTTATACCCACTTTTTTAAAAACTCAGATAATGGGACCAGTGAGATAGCTCAGTGGGTAACAGCACTGGCTGGCAGTCCTGACCTTGACCTGAGTTTGATCTCCAGTAACCATGTGGTACCAACCTCTTTAAACTGCCCTCTGAACCTGCACATGCTGTGGCACCTGAATGCACACTAATTAAATGTAATAGGAAAGTCAGAGAAAACAAATTATTTTTGTACAGTTAGACACTAGGTGGAAAGGTTACAACTTTCCATCCTGGTGACTTCATCCAGAAATGTCCTTGTCCCAAGACTGCACCCAGTTCACCCTTAGCAGGGTTCCAGCCACCCTTGACTAAAATTCATCATTTGTAGTAGGTAAAACCTTCCAGCTATTTCACATTTGGGAGAATTGAAGGTGCAGAAATGCATGACAAAACAGACTTGAAAACAAGTGGGGTTACCCTTCAAGTTATGGGGAAATAAATTTCAGCTGCCAGTGAGCACACGGATATATCTCGGTGCTTTGTCACCACTGCAGCCACACCCCCCAGGGCTTTGAGCCCTGTCCACTGAGGCCAGTAACTTGCTCCTGAGCAGTGCAAGTCTCAGTTGCTCTGTCATTTCAGTGTCCTGGACATTCGTCTTCTCGATGGCAGGCTCCAACCAACATCATGCCTTCCTGCCAAGTACCTACCACCTCTGGATGTACTCCTGGCCTGTAGCCGAAGTTTTTCTGTGTCCCGCCAGGTCCACAGCTGCTCAGACCCAACTAAACACACAGGGGCTTATATTAATTAAAACTGCTTAGCCGTTAGCTCAGGGCTGCCACTGACTAGTTCTTACACTTAAACTCAGCCCATTTTCATTAATCTATATGTTACCACGTGTTCCATGCCTTTACCTGTGTGCCATTACATGTGCTCCCTGGATGGTGAGATGGCGTCTCCTCCTCAGCCTTCCTCTTCCCACAGTTCTCCTTGTCTGCTTATCCCGCCTATACTTCCTACCTGGCTACTGGCCAATCAGCATTTTATTAAACCAGTGTACAAAAGCATTATCCCACCGCACCTGGCCTGCAGGTTATTTCTAGAAAAAGATCAACAACTCACCAAAAACTGTTGGAGGACCCCACAGTGCTTCTGACCCTTACTTTGTCTAGTCAACTCTTTTTGTTCATTTGTGGGGTTTTGTTTTTCTGTTTAGTTTGCTTGCTTGCTTTTTATGGTATCTCTATTGTATCTCTGACTGTCCTGGAACTCAGAGATCCTCCTGCCTTCTGAGTGTTGATTAAAGGTGTGAGACACTACACCTGACTCGTGTGTGTGTGTGTATGTGTGTGTGTGTGAAGGACATAAGTATTTTTGTAGTTGGAATTTTCTTTGGGCTGCCAACTAACTCCCAAATAAAAACACTGAGACTTGATTATGAGTGCTCAGCCTTGGTTTAGGCTTGTCCCACTAGCTCTTTTAACTTAATTTAACCTGTTTCTATTCATCTACATTTTGCCTCAGTGCTTTTTACCTTTCTTTCATTCTGTATGTCCTGCTTTCTCCATGTCTGGGTGGCTGGCCCCAAGCATCTCTGTTGTCTCCTTTTCTTTCCTCTTGAGGAATTTTCTAAATTCCTCTTCCTACTTAATCTCCCTTCCAGGAAGTTCCACCTGTACCTCCTACCTCACTATTGGCTGTTTATTAGACCAATCAGGTGCCCTAGGCAGGCAAGGTAAAACAGCAACACATTTTTATGTAATTGAACAAATGCAACACATCTTTGCATAAATATCCCACAACCTTTCTCCCTTTTTATCTAAATTGAGAGGTTTTAGTTTTAACATAATAAGACTATATACAATAAGAACAATTATCAAGTAAGAATTACATTTACAATGTCCAGTCCATCTGCATTTGGCAAATTCAGAGAAAATATTCCATTATCTATCTTATCTTGGTGATTCCGAAGTTGTGTACCCAATGCTAACTTGTATTACCAACCCAAAATTATCTTTTTAGACCTCAAAACATTTTCTTAGATAAACAATTTAAGCCTTTATGTTTCTTAACCTTATAAGCTTTATATCTCTTATGTGAGTTTCTTTTCTGGATTTGGTAACAAGGAAAACTATATCTCATCTTCAGCTCCATTAGAGACCCAAGAAGGCTATAATATTTATTACCTGAGTAAACAGGAAGTACAGAGCAAGCAACTTCCAAAACTATAGAAATGACAGAAGCAGCTGGCTGCCTGGACAATCACCCAGACAATCTTCTGCACTGTTTGGGCATCCATCTTCAGCCTACAGGCCTAGAATATCTGACAGACTTCTGTGAAGCAGAAATTTTAAAAGACTGTGCCACATTGTCTTGGCAAAGTTCAGCAGTCTTTTTCCTTTGTGTCCTGCTTGTCCAGTCTGTACAGCATACTGTAAGCAGTCAAGGCAAGGGCAGTTTCTTGCCCAAATGGCTAGCTTTGCCACAATCAAAGTAAACTCCATATGGAAGTTCTTCAACACCCATCATCCTTTTATGAAATAGATTGGTGCTGACAGGAGTAGATGTGTCTCACTGTCATGAAAAGAGTTAGATTATTAAACATCTTAAATGCCATATTCTGTAGGTCTCTGAAGTGTTTGAAAATCACCTATCTAAAATATATGTTTAACCTTGAAAACATACCTAACATGACTACAAGTTTGATAGTTATAGATGACTAACTGCTAACCTATATTTTTTAATTATCCTAAACAGTTTCTAATAATAGCTTTCAAGAACTAGAACTTTATATTACATTTTTAAATGAGCCACATAGGTACAATACCTTAAAGAAGGGTGGAAACATATATATAGTATAGCATCAATATACAAAAAATCTGTACCAAAGTAAAATATTTGAAATTAATAGTTTTTTATCCTATATTCCTATATCCCCATTAAATAATGACAAACACCCATAACCCACTGAATGACCCAAAACCACTCACCCCACCTCTTGGGAATGTAGGTGTTGTGTTCTCTAGACTGCTTCCTGTTGTCTGGAGATGACAGCATCCCCCCCATGGGACCCTGAGAAAATTGAGAATGGTCAAGTCAGTACGAAAACTAGCTATAACATTTGTTGTCTAGTTTCTGTGTAATTAGAAAGTACAAGGCTTATCTGAAGTCCTGGCTAGAATAGTCTGTGAGGCTGGACCATCATCTTAGCTAGCAGCCTTGAAATTGTTTTGAATACAGAACTCTGAGGAAACTGAAACAGAGGCACTCTGAAAGGCTGGATCACCTGGGCCACCCATTTTCAGTAGTGTCTAGTTCACTTGCTCTGGAAACACACAAACTTTTAAAAGTAGCATACATATCTACATTAACACAAGTATAGAATGTGCAGTGTGCACAAGTCAGCTAAAGATTTTTTTTTTTTGTTCTATGTTTGGGCAGGTAAAAGACATACGTCAACTTTCTAAGTTTGTTTGAACTGTAAAACCAAACCTCTATTCATGCCATATAAAAGGATGGATGTAACAATAAATCAGGAGGACTCTGTGACCAACAAAACAAGATTTATCATGCCTCATCCAGTCTCAGAGCTGTTCCCATGTAAAGGGATAAGCATATATGTCACCTGCCTTGTAGTTTTTTTAGGTTTATTTCTTTATGTCTGTAGCCAAGATTTTTAGGGGGTCTCCCCCAGTCAAATCTGGTCTCTATTAATTTTAAAAGGATCCACAGCCTTTCATTTCCTATGGAAACCAAAGCATAACCTCTCCCCC